CATTTTATTTTAGTTTAATTTTTAATAGATTCACTATTTTATATAGATAGTTAATATGAAAAAAGCCCACTATTTTGATAAAATTGTTTATTTAAAATACCTGAAGTTGTTACATTTTAAATAAATATTTAACCTTAGCCTTACTCCTTAACCAATCAATTACATTGAAATATATGGAACCCACCAATTCTTTGGTAATTTTGGAAAATCTTCACACGAGTATTTATTTATGTGTTTAAAGTTTATTAATTTATTTTGAGAGAGAGAGAGAGAGAGAGAGAGAGAGAGAAAACGCATGCGAGTGGGGAGGGGGCAGAGAAAGAGAGAGACACAGAATCTGAAGCAGCCTCCAGGCTCTGAGCTGTCAGTGTGAGCCCCATGTGGAGCTCAAACTCAGGAACCATTAAATTATGACTCAAGCCAAAGTCAGGCGCTTAACTGATTGAGCCACCCAGGCGCCCTTGATGCAAATATTTATAGACTATAGACTATATTTATGGATTCCTTTCCATTGTAGACTGGCAGTATTATTAAGATCACATGTTTTAAAATAAATCCTGATTTGTTCCTAATATGTTGATATGTGCTTTGATTGGAATTCTAACACTTCAGAGCCGTATCTCTTTACCTAGGCTATTAAAATTAATATTTTTCTTTTATTTGAACTCAGTGTCAAAGTGACTCTCTTATGATACTTCTTTTTTAAGCCTCTTAAATTTCATTTCAGCATTTGCAGCCAGATTAGTTCTGGTGGCAGCCAACAGCAACATATATTGCCCTATTAGTTACTGCCCATCACTGAACGATGATTCAGTAGACTAGGTTTAAGGCCCCAAGTCATCTAGATCAAAAGGAAAACAATTGCATCATATGGATTGCTTAAGTATACTAGAATTATATTTACTATATGCTAAAGAAAAGAACATTTTATTTTTCCGGGTCTGAAAGTTGTATACATTTTGGCTCTGCCTCCCCAGCTCCCTAAATAACCTTGTCAAAGTCATTTAACCTCTTAGTGTTTGTTTTCTCAGCTGTAAAATGAGGATAATTATCCTTACCTATCTCATAGGGGTGGTGTTCAGATTAGCTAATTAATGATTAGAAAGTGCTACAAAAAAGCTCAGTATTATTAAGGAAAACCTAAGGATTTTTTAGTGCCTTTGGGTAAGAGCGCTACTTAGCAGAAATGATTCCCAACAAGTGTTTGCTAGCCTGATAAACCACCAGCTCCCTCCCTGAGGAAAGATGACTGGTCCTGGGACCTTGTCCTTCACTGCTGTTTTGTTAGCTGAAGAGCACAGAGGCTGTCTATACAACAAAGGACCCTGGGATCAATGATACATTTCCTAACTCTGATGCATCTGAAGAGCTGTCAAGTGATAGCAAGATATGCCACTTCAGCCTGAAGAAAACATCCCTAACCTCTTCAGAACACAAAAATGCCTGTGGTACGTGGTTACAGTTGCAGCTCGTACTATATCCTTATGCTAAATGAATTCAGCTTTTCTTTGCAGGTTAGGAGATATTTGTTTACATCTTTAGATTTTACCTTTTGCCAGACAGGCTCATCAAGCAATGCATTTTCTCATTATGTTTTTTACATAGGCACTCGTGACACAATGGGCCAAATTGCCTTCTTCACATCTTTCTGAACATTGGATTTCTTGACACTGAAGAGGGAGAGACATTCTTCGGGGCTTTGCCTAGTTCTTTTCTTTATCTAAGGATGTTTCTGGATTCTACGCACACCTTTCTTCCCCCATTTTCATTGCTCTTTTTGGTATTTCCTTCTCTTTCATTTGTCCACTGTGCTGTTCACTAACTGCTCTCCCTGTTTCCAGTCCATTCTCTGTATAGACACCCGGGTTGTCTTCTTTAAAAAAAAAAAAAAAAAAAGCCTATTGTTTTACTCTTTTGCTTCAAATGTAAAGTGCCTCTTAAGTGGCTCTCCTTACCTTTTGGGACAAAGGCCAACCTACTCAGGATGACAGCTGAAGTTTCTCATATACAGGCTACAATCTACCTTTCAGCATCGTTGCCCATAACTCCAGAATTACTGATCCTAGAACCTTCCATTTGTGGAAACGGCTCTACACAACTAATGGTGTTTACTTTGTCTGAAATGTTCTTTCCTCCTGAGTTAAATGCTATTAGTCCATGAAGAATTTGTTCGAACGTCAGCTTTTCTATGAAAACTTATCATCTTTTTCGCTTAGAAAGTGCAAAATCCATTTTTCTTGCAAGATCCTTTATACTTTTTAGGAGAAATTTCACGGGACTTCAGTTGTGTCTTCTGTTCTCTTTAAAGTGTGTGGTGTTGAGCACTGTCCTCGTCTCAGCTTCCTGTTATATTAATTGATGATGTCAGGGATAATGACTTACCTACTAAGTGGGTTTGTTATCAGGATGAAATGAAATGAAATAATGCATGTGAAAATGATTTGCGACATATTAAATGCTGTACAGATATGTTATTATTATAGTACTTAGCACTTTGTATTATAGTTAGCTGTATAAATGTATGCTTCCCCTGATGGATTACATATAATCACGTCAAGAGAGGAAACTGTTTTGTAAATAAGCTTTGTATTCCCCAGCATCTATAAGCATGCCTGGGATAAAGTAGTTGTTTAATAAATATTGGTTGAATGCATGAGAGAGAGCAAGACAGAAAGTAAGATAAAAATTCTATGCCTATTTCTAGTTGTGTGTGGATTCTTTCCCTTCCACCGCCCTCACCATTTTTTTCATTTATCCATTCACCAAATACAGTGCACAAGGCATTATCTGTTAGAAAAGGAACATTATGGCATGTTTTTTTTAACAGATGTTCACTTTACCTTGTTACGTATCCAGAATAAAGAATAGATTTAATTTTTTTTTTTTTTTTTTTACACTGAATCACTCTTGGGGTTGTAATGACAACCGCTTTTGTGGTTTCCTTATTTTCAGAGTATAATTAACCTATAAAATTACTTGATCAAAAAAAACTGTCACATTGATGGAAAAATAAATATTCACTCATCATCAGATATAATCAACTGAACAAGTCTTAACAATGCAGTGAATAAGACTGTTTAGGTCTTATGAGAATTGTTGATCTTGTTCCAATATCTAGTGGGCATAAAATAATCCTCTTGGCAACTATACTTTTCAAATTACCAGAGAGGCTAAGGGAGAAAAATGACACTAAAATAGAAACTTCCTTTTTTTCCTTGGTTCTGTTTACAAGCTTAGCCTTGATCATAGCATGTAAATGCTTTAAAGTTTAGGTGGTAGCAAATGGGAAAATAATCAGAAAATTCCATGTGTGTAACTGATTGCTTTTTTCCTACTGTTTCAGGATTCTTTACTTGCAATATTAAATTTTTTATTGTGAACAAATATGAGTAATATTTTTAACATCACTCCATTCGAAAGCTTGCCATGTTTTAGATAATGGTGATTTATTCAACATATCATGGAATGTATTAAAAAAAAACTCAGAAAACAGGTTTGGTGCAAGGGAAAAAGTTACTTGGAAATACGTTTCTTAAAACTTAAAGAATTATATTTTACATAATCCCAAATGCTACTGAGTTCACCATTTGTAGGGCTACTGACAAAGCATTTTTGTAAAGATGGAAGAGTAATTTAAACTTTTCATTAAAAGCCTTTTCAATCTCCACTGAATCAAGCCAGCTGTTCTTTTCACTTCCTCTTCTATAGCAGCACATCATAAACATTGAGACCAGAGCTCTGGATGACACCAAAACTGCTTATCCACAACTGTCTCCTCCCCAGAAGTCTGACAGAGGATAGCTGGCAAAAGATACAGACAAGATATCTTAATCAGAGCTCCGCGGATTGCTGGATTGCTCGATCTGGAGGAGTTTGCCACCTGTGAAATACAAAGCCCTACTGTTTTAAAAGCAATGTTTACTGGGTGGCGAAAAAAAAAATTATCCTGGATAGCAGGTGCTCTAGGCTGCTTCTGTGTTCCTCTACAGCTTCTGAGACGACCAAAGATGAAATCCAGAGTCCACAATTACAACCCCACTGAGGGCTGCGAAAGTTCCTTTACTATCTTCTCTGGTCGCTCCTTTTACCTGTTCCTTCCTTGTCCTTCTCTGGCTTCTCTTCACCCATTGATCTTCCTAAATGAAAAATTTTCTTTAAGAATCCACCACCGTGGAGTCATCTTTGCAAGCTTTCAACTATGATCCCTAAGAATATAACTTCAAAAATTTGTATTCTCTCCACCCTGATTTTTCTTGTGGCCTCCAGCATGGTGTGAGTCACTGTCTTTTCCATCTGTCTCCAGTGTCTCCTCTGGTCTAATCTATCTCACACCCTGCTGTTCAATGTAATCACCCTGAAACATGTCTCTGGTAATGTCTCTTCCCTGCTTAAAACTTCAGGGTCTCTTTACTGTTTAAAGGAGAGAATCCAAGTGTTCTAAGAGAAATTTGGGATGCTTCTCAATTTGTCTTCTGCTTTTTGCTTCCAATCTTATTTTTTCTCTTTTATGTTTCCTCTAGGACAGTGCTGTCCAGTGGAAATATCATATGAGCCAGACATGTAACTTTGAATCATTTGGTAGCCCCATTAATATAAAAGTAAATATAAACAGATGAAAATGTTTAATAATCCATTAGATTTATACAATTTACATATGTTGATATGTCTATATAACTTATTATATTCATAGTATAGGTCTTATATTTATATTTAAAGATGTTTTATAAATACATAAATGATATAAGTGATATGGATCATATAGCCAATATTACAAATCCGTAATTACATACATATATAGTAGCCAGCTTCCAATATGACCCTTATTGATCTTTGCCAACATCAGTGGCTCTAGAATTTCCTCTGTGTAATTCCCTTTCCCACTGTATCAGGGTTGGTGGGATGACCAATAGAGAATGCAGATGGTATGTCACCTCTCAGGGTAGGTGTATAAAAAGGCTTGTGGCTTCTGCCTTATTCCCTCTTGCATCATTCATTCTGGGAGAAGTCAGCTGCCATGTTAAGAGGGTACTTAGGCAGGCCTGTGGAGGGGCCCATGTAGAGAGGAATTGAAGCTTTTTGCCAGCACCCAGCGGGGAACTGAGGTCTCCTGCCAATAGCTGCCGAAGTGATCCATCATGGAGCAGATTGTCCAGCCACAGTCAAGCTTCAGATGACAACCACCCCAGCTGACAGCTTTATTGCAAACTCATAAGAGAACCTGAGTTAGAACAACATGGCTAATCCACTTCCATATTCCTGACCCTCCAAGACTGTGTGAGGTAATAAATGTTTGTTGTTTATAAATCCAGAATTTCTCAGTCATTTGCTGTGCATAAGTTTAAACTAATGCAGGTATGGGTACTTGCCAGAGGAGTGCTCTTGTAACAAAACCCAAAATGTAGGAGTGGTTTTGGAAACAGGCAGTGGATAGGAGCTGGAATATCTTTAAGGACAGTGTTACCAAAAGCTTAGAGAGCCTTGTAAAATCTGTTTTTAGAAACATGTTATTCTTTGAGCAGCTGTGAATGAGAGCCTAAAGGAAACTGAGGAAAGTCTTGTTATATAATATCAGGAAGTTTATCAATACTGTTGCTTATAGTAACCTGGAAAGAAGAAAATGTGCCCAATGAATTGAGTGATGTAGCTAAAGAGATTTTCAGGCAAAGTAGTGAAGGTGCCAACTGGATTCTTCTTGCTGCTTATAGTAAAGTGAGCAGGAAAGAAATAAACTAAAGGAATGACTGTTAAACAGAAAGGAACAAGACCTTGATGCTTTTGAAAATTCCTAGCCTACCGTGATGGTGAATGATGTGAAGATTTAAGAAAGATCTTATAAGCAGAGATCCAATCCAGGATACTGTCAAGAAAATATATGGTTCAAAGATGATGTTGTGGATGAGACTCTGAAATCCTTTGTGAAGACCTCAGAAAGATCACAGGTATTGCCTCAGAGGGCAGTACTGTTCAGTCCAGATGAAAGTCCCTCTCAAAGGCTTCTGCATATGCCTGGAAACTCTCCAACTGCACAGCTTCTAACACTTAAGGATCCTTGTCCCTCATCCATCTCAGGAGAATACTACTAAGTATTTACCCAAAGGGCACAAAAATACTGATTCAAATGGGCACATGCACCCTGATGTTTATAGTAGCATTATCAACAATAGCCAAATTATGGAAAGAGCTCAAATGTCCATTGACTGATGAATAGATAAAGAAGATGTGGTATACATATATAATTGAATATTAGTCATAAAAAGAATGAAATCTTGTCATTTGCATTGATGTGGATGAGACTAGACTGTATTATGCCAAGTGAGATAAGTCAGTCAGAGAAAGGCAAATACCATATGATTTCACTCATATGTAGAAATTTAAGAAAGAAAACAGATGACCATAGAGGAAGGGGAAAAAAAAGAGAGAAGGAAGCAAACCGTGAGAGACTGTTAACTATAGAGAGTGATCTGAGTGTTGATGGAAGGGAGGTGGGGGGATGGACTAAATGGGTGATGGGCATTAAGGAGGGCACTTGTTGTGATGAGCCCTGAGCGTTTTATGTAAGTGATGAATCACTAAATTCTACACTTGAAACCAATTTTACCATACATGTTAACTAACGAGAATTTGAAAAACAATTGAAATAAAAAAAAAAAAAGAAAAGGACTCATTTTGAAAGGCATCAGAGAATGTGAGTTTTGTCTAATGGAAAAAATGCTAAGAAGAATCACAGGAGATACACAAAGTTTTAAAGAAAATTATTATCACAGATGCATTGCCAACTTGGAGGAAAAGTTACAGAGATAATATGAAATAGATAGAGAACTTTCAACCCCTGGAATTCTCCAGGTTGGTAGGAGACAGAAATCTACATGGCTGAAAACACAGGTCTGTTTCTTGGAAAAGGAAGGATGAGTCAATGGGTAGAACCGAGAGGTCTGAGAGTAAAGCTGAAAGCCATGGACAATGACTTCTGGGAAGGAATGGGACCAAGTCAAGACACATTGAACATCTGCCCGGCTCAATTTTAGGAATGTTGTAGACTCATGACTTCTTCGTGCTTCTTCCCCCTTTTCAAATAGGAATGTCTGTTGTGGTGAAATTATGCCTGCCCCACCATTGTATATTACATGTGTCGGGGCCATAGAACTCATCTCTTTTGCTCACAGGTCTTCTGATAAGGAGGAACTGTACCGGAGGAGATGTACTTAAGAAGCCAGGCCCGCATAGTTCCATCTGCATCTACACATAATCTAGAAGACAAGAGTCTAAATTTAATTTGTTACCATGAAAGGATGAACTTTGGGGCCCCTGGGGAAAGAGTACACATATTTTGCATGTGAGAAGAATATAAATAATTTGTAACCAAAAGGTGGACTGTGTTCAGTACATCTCTTCCCTTCAAGGGGTAGAGCCGAATTGCTCTTTGCTTGAGTGTGGACTGGACTTAATGAATAGTTTCCACTGGATAGAATAAAGCAGAGATGATGGTGTTCGACTTCAGAGACTAAGTCATCAAAGGTGTAGGGAAGAAAAACCTTTCCTTTCTTCCCTTTTAGATTTTTTGGCTGGTCTAATAATTCAATTGACCTAAGACACATCAACAGAAGAAAAACAAATTTAGTTTTGTATGTATGGGAACTCATAAAAATAAGAGACTCAAAATAGTGACCAAAGAAGGAAGCTTTTATATGTATTAGACAAAGAACAATACATTTGCGAAGAATTGAGAGGACAAAGAATTTGGGCTTGGTTTAGCAAATTAACGAAGAAGTAACGAGGTTTTTTTATATAGCCTTCTAGGTCCTGAATTCCCTATCTCTAGTGAGAATAGTGCTTTCTACTCTCCAGGTGCTGGGAAGGTAACTTTCACATGGGAATTTATTTCTTGCTTTCAGGGAGACAGAGGAAGGTCAGAGTGTCTTTCTTGCACCAGCTATTTCTCAAGTAGCCTTAATTCAAAATGATCAATATGCCAAAGTGGCATATTTTGGGGTGGCCTGACCTGAGCCCCATCAAAGGTATTACATCTTCCTATTTGCTTTCTCTCTTTGATCACGCACTCTGTGGGAAGCCAGCTGCCATAAATGAGGACTCTCATCTATGGTGATGGTTCATGTGGCAAAGAGTTGAGGTCCCTGACAAACGGCCAGAAAGGAACTGAGGTCTGCCCACAGCAATGCGAGTTGTCTTCTGGCAAGGGGATCCTCCAGCCTCACTCATGTTTTCACGTGTCCAGCCCTGACTGGCATCTTCATTGTTACCTCATGAGTGTTCCTAAGCAAGAATCACTCTCAGATTCCTGACCCACAGAACTGTGAGATACCTAATGTTAGTGTTTTAAACTACAACGTTTAGGGTAACTTGTCATGCAGTAATGTATTAGAATACATCTTATAGTCATTTAAAAATACTGCAGAAATCTAGTGTATATTTTACACTTAAAAAACATTTCAGTTTGGATTCACTTTGAGTGTTCCATAGCCATATGTTATTAGTGGCTACCATATTAGACAGGGCAGAACCTAAAGGAAATAACTGCATCTACGTGAATTTAATGCACTCAAAAATTTCACATTTCCAGATGTAGTTTCATTGTTGTTGTTGTTTGTTTGTTTGCTTAGAATGTCTTTTTATCCCTTCTCCATCTGGTTACCATCCCTCATTCTTTTTTTTTTTTTAATTTTTTTTTTTAACATTTATTTATTTTTGAGACAGAGAGAGACACAGCATGAACGGGGGAGGGGCAGAGAGAGAGACACACACAGAATCGGAAGCAGGCTCCAGGCTCTGAGCCATCAGCCCAGAGCCCGACGCGGGGCTCGAACTCGTGGACTGCGAGATCGTGACCTGAGCTGAAGTCGGACGCTTAACTGACTGAGCCACCCAGGCGCCCCTACCATCCCCTCATTCTTAAGATCACATCCTATTATTCACTTTTTTAATAATTTCTTTCAACCACTCAGAATTAATTATTACTTTCTTCTTTCTCAGCACAGTTCTTATAATTGGTTACATGTGTCTCTTTTCTTCTGGACTGTGAGGATCTTGAGGGCAAGATTTATGTATTTGGTTTTTTAAGAAAAATCTTTGCATGTGCCTAGCTTGCTGCTTAAACTTAGTGGCCAATAAATATTTGTTAACATAAACGGTAGGCACTAGACAACTCCTGGGCAATGATGTTGTGGAAGTGGTTCTTGCATTGCCTGAAAAATTGACCTGCAAGATCCCTAACAATTGTCAGTAGCCTATAAAATGCATCATAGAGAGATGTAGTTCCTACCTGAGGGCATATAAACAGAGGGCATATTTCTCTCCCCCAAATAATTGTGTGCAGGTTTGTTATGCAGAGCATAAATAATTGAGTGAAGAGGGTTGCCCATTAGTCACTGAAGATTGCCTCTATGAAGAAAGTCCTGTTTCACAATTCCGTTCCTCTCTCCCTAGGAAGTGGCCCTTGTGCCAGAATGAAAATTGTGCTTCGGGTCTTCCTATGAGCTGAAACCTCTACTAAGCATTTTCAATATTTTATTGTAGATGCTTGAGGCAGAAATCAAACAGCACCAATCCTAGGTCAGTAGAGAGTTACTTCTTTTCTTTGGTTTATGAGAAAAGGATCTCATTTTTGTTTTCTGTGAGTGAATATTTTTCAAATGCAAGGATAACTTACAAAAGCAAGTTAAAGAGAATGAACACAGTGTTTCAGATACAGCGTGACTAAGCAGGATGTAGAAATTAGAAGAATCTTACCCGGGGACTATCGGTAAATTCTTTCCTTTTTCTTTCTTGTTCTTCTTCTTCTTTTTTTTTTTTTCTTTTTATAATTTTGCAGAGACAGGAAAGCAGATGGAGGCAAAGATATGAGTCTCATCCTGGTGGGTTATTGTTCCAAACAGTAGCATGAGAGAATTATCTGACCACTTGAGCGGTGAACTTCCTCTCAACATTGTGGGATGACCCAGATACTGAACTTTTGTCTCTTGCTCTTTACCCCCTTTTCAACTCTGAGATGATAGTGCAGCCTTGGGGGGTCATCAAATGGATTGATTTTCCTGGAAATTTTTACTAGTAAAGTACAGCTTTCAGATTTTTTTTTTCTCCCCCCAAAGGAAGGATGCCAGAAGCAGCATATCGTGTTCTTGTCATGTTAGTGCATCATAGAAATATTAGCATCCTGGATGAGAAAGCTATGAAAGCCAGGGGCTGAAAGCTCAGCGATCCGTATGGTTTACAATATACACCCTTAGGCAGGGCTTGTGGGTTGTGTGGTTGTTTAAAAGAAAAA